TCTTTATTTATTAAGAACCCGCAATGAATAGCATTTGCTCTTTACTAAAGCAGGCATTTTGTATTTTAGGTCTTCCACTTCGATGAAAAAGATACCGATTCCAAAGCGGCATCTGGACAGTTTTGGGGGCTATGAATACAACATGGGTGCTAAGCGAGGCATAATCCTCCACACAGACAGATACCAGGTTTGTCTTTACTCCGCTTGTCCTTATTACATTTCAAACCATTGTACTAGCACTGTAAACAACTGGACAAGTTGCTTGAAACGTTTCCGACATTTGTATTTCTTCATATTTTCCCCATACAACTGTAATATGTAAGGGACAAATAGAATCTAGGTTACATATCTTTTCTTTTATCAGCATTGAGTATAGGACCGCCTTGCTACCTGCAATAAAGACTTTAGCGAGAAAAGATTCACTTTGATGTTTCAACTAATATAGCCCAATTCTTGCTTCTCTAGTAAACAACAAATACGAAGAAGTAGCTGCATGGGCTCTCTATTAGATTTGTTTTAATACAGGTATTCCTGTTCAATTAGAAAATTTTAACTTTAATACGTTTTTTGTTATTATCATCAGAACCATATATTGTTACCCAAAATTAAATATATTGATAATTTGCAAACCACTTTTGGCAAATATTGTTTTATTCTAAATATGTCCCAGAATTCCAACTCGAAATCAGGCCTCATGGATCAGGTAGTGTATCTATCTATATAATTTAAATGTGTATTGGAAAACTATCAATTTCTGCTTTGATATATACCATTATTCTGACCGCAGGTATGGCTTTTATACATGCTATATGTACGCCGCGTGACTTTATCGCTTCGAACTGTAGATTACGAGCGGTTGAGTATTTGTCTGTAATCGTCGCAAAATGAAAAGCTGTAATATTTCCAAGGGTAGAGATACATCTTGAACTTTTAAGTGTGCTGATTTGCGTTTGATCTTGTATTAACATCTTGCCCCTATATTTACACATCTATCTATGGATCTATGTGTGTTACACTCAATTAACAAGGATTGAAATGTTACTACATACTATACTTACTGTATATATATATGATCTGATTGCAGTACTTGTACCCCTTTTCGGTATGTAACACTGTTCGCAGATTTATCCAATAGTGGTTATCTAATCGAATGGTATTTCCTAGGTAGACTTGTCCATTTCATGGAATTAGCTATGTGCGGTAGCTAACACTGCATGGAGAAGGAGGTGTATTGGTGCTAGTAGACATGAGAGGCTCCTCAAGTGGAGCAATCGTAGTGTGATTTTATTTTTGTTGCTGAATGAGGTTTGCTTTAAACAATCATATACAACTGTAAAACGGGAATATCCAGCATAACATTTCAAGTCTTTCATTGTTATCTGAAAACAAGTCTTCAAGAAATTTGATTTGAAAAAAAAATGTTCATATGTTTAATTGCACGTCTTTCCCGAATTACAGTAATTAATTCGCATTTCGAACTAGCATTCATATAAATTCATTAGTTAATACACATTATAATTCGTGATAATAATGAATGGACTAGCAGGTTTGAAACCATTCATGTAAAAGAATAACATTTCATGGTGACAAAATCAGCTTACATAGCTCATGGACTACGGAACTTGAACTAAACCATATAACCGACTTTTACTCGTTCGATGTTTCATAATAATGTAGATCAAAGATCATTGTCGTTTAAGTATTTGAGTAGCTAGTTATAACATCATGCTAGATTGATTTTAGAGAGTTTGTTTATGTTTTTTTTTTTTACCTTTGACATTTTATTGTTAGATTTAAATCGGAGTTGATAACATTTGTTAGGAATGTGATTCCGCACCATCTGTGATTATTTGTGGAAATTGAAAGAAGAAGAAAATATGTATCATAGCAATATTTCTATATTAAATTATGTATTTATCTGTATATATGTTAGTTAGACGGTCACTATGGCGATTTGTCACTTTGACCATGTCGGGCATGTCGGGCTGTTGACCACTGGAAACCTGTTTATTATAATGCTAGGCGATTTGGTGCCTCCGGTCGTGAGTTTAAGACCTAGACAGGGCACGAGTTGTTAAATGGACTTCCTATGTTACTTGTGTTTCTATGTCTTTGTTTCAATAAAAATACCCACAACGTATCCTATACACCCTATACACTAGTGTATGAGATATATACTTACTGTCGTTATTGAACTGTAAAATGTATGTTATGTATGTAGTTGTTATGAATGGACATGTCATATTCCCGACTTTCTATGTAACAGGAAAAATCTCGGGTTTGAAATTTATTTCTAAAGAAAGCTCGTTTTAGATTTCTATTATATTCCAGATAATTAATCAGTTTTACAAGTAATGAGTATAAATACAATAAAAAACAAGGTTTTATCAGATTTTTCAGAAAAATTATTACAGACCTTAGTGTTGATTAATTTGGCTTAACTAAGATCCAGCTCTAAATAAAACAAGAATTACATGTATGTGATAGACTGCAGATTGGAAATATAGAGAGCAGCATATTTGATCTTATTTTTGCCTGATTAAATTCCAAAATGCTGATTTGAAAAAAATTGAAAAATCTAAATATTTTAATAAATATTTATCTTTTTGCAGTGGGATTCGCCTAAAGTGTTCGAAGGGTAAGTCTGTCAAAAGTCATATACTTTTCTCTATAAATGTTCGAAGGGAAAGTCTGACACAAGTCATATACTTTTCTCTATATTATTCAAATGGTTTTAATATTTAGACGAGTGATTCCGTCTTAAAAAATATTTTACACATACAATTGATAAGTGCAAATGTTATGAAAAAAGTACAAATTGTGTACTGTTCAACATGAAACATTTCCCAGCGTTACAAGTTATTCTAATTCGTTGACAACACCTTTCACGGTTCAAATAAAATTAGTTCGTTGCTATGATATTTCGCTGTAATAAATTCCCGTAGTGCTTACTAAACTCATTCGTTAATTAAGATAACGCGGTACAAACTAAACTAGTTCGTTGACATAAATTTACCCTGTTGCATGGTACTTTTAAACTTAGCTGAGTTGTTCATCATTTTGCTACACAAATATTTGCAGTTCCTCTCTCTATATAAAAAACGAACGGAAAATACACAGGGTAACTTTAGTATTTATTGTTTGAGCATATTAAGCATAAAAAAGGTTTTAACATTGTTTTTTATACATTCTAGCTTAAGCCAAAGGGAGAGATTACGGGCAGAGCTAGAATATATGGAAAGGCTGAGATATGTGAAACGCCGACGGGAGGTGCTGCCCCACAGGGCACAGATTGACCTTCTGATGGGAGGCAAGAAGGTGGACTTCGTAGAAAGGTATATGGAAGAGATATTTCTTACAATAGGTCTTTTAACACCCTAAATGACGCCAATTATAACAAACAGTTTGAACATCTTCCAACTAATGACATAAACTAATTGAAACAAAAGTATGCCAGAGCATCAACATAGAAGGCAAATCGAAAGTCAATACAAATGACCAACAACACGGACTGAGGAGACACCGAAACAAACGAAAAGCTACCATGAAATAATTAAAAATCGGAGGTGAGCCAATCACCTATGAAAGAATAGATGAACAGGTAATCAGATATCGGTCAATCCTAAGGGAAACTATTTAGACAGGGGGAAAATGTAGATGACTATACAGACAGTTGGACATATTCGTTAGACTTATAAGGACGACGTGAAATGTTCCTGACGAAACACTCAATTAGCGTATTTAAAGGGTAAACGTAAAGATGTTAAGGAATAGCACAAATTATACATTCGAATCACAAATATATAGCTACTGTTACATAGCAATGTAATCAGACATCTGTTAAGCATAGTTAAGTTAGGATTCAGGCACTTAGATAACGCGTTTCATCAGTATTTCAATTGCCGCTAAGGTGTTTCAGCAAATATCAACAAAAGCATATAAATATATCTTAATGCTTTAATCTATTTCAGGTTCGATATTCAAAAGGAAATCCAGAAGTTAAAATCACTTATAATGCCTCAAAACGCCAGGGATTTGTTCCATGGACGAGGGATACCTCTGCCGACGTAAGTTACCCCACGGTTATACAAACCCTTATACATATTTCACACCATGCGATAATCTTCTGACACGTTTGATCGGTATATCGATGTACAAGCGATCGGATATATTCCCTCTATCGGTAGACAAACTTACTTCGACATTTCACCATGTGAATATGTATTAATAAATTTCATATGTAAATATCAATATATACACTTAAACATGTAAATTCAAACAATTTCAAGTACATTGGTTCCAGACACATCTCGACATGCGATTGCCAATCATTATTAAGCATTTTGATTATTTTGTCTGACTGAAATGGACTTTAAACAGATGGAATATGTATACAAAATACATGGTTAATAGGATTATAACCGACCACTTTCTGTTTCCAGGGAACACTCCTCTGTGAAACCTCGGAGACCACCTTTAATAGACTATGATAGCGATGAGGACAGTAAGTGAAACCTGTATTGGTAAAAAATGTAAAACAATATCCAAGGGTCTGGGAACTATAAATGTGTTTCATGAAAATATGGTCAATGGTAGATAGCAATAACAAATATTGGATCCAGTTCAAAGCCTGGTTAGCTTTACAAGTAGTTTAAACATAAGTTTTCTTATTTTTATGTTGAAAATATGATATTTTACATATGTTACATTGTGGATTACGATTGTAAAATTTTGAAGAACAAAATGTCAATAAACTAATCAGGCTTTGAACAATTATAGATTTTAGTCAATCAACCAAAACTCCATAATCGGTGAGGATAAGTTTCGAGCATGATTCATTTAAATGTTCTTGACCAACATAATGCAATGCTTGATCCTAAAATATATGTGTAAATAATAAAATGTTCATGATTTCTATTTGTATTCCATTTTTATCATTAGCTTGGAATGAGTGAATCAAATGTTTTATTATTGAATGTTCACTCAAATCATTTGCTTGGTTACCCCATACCTATCTTTCAGTCACCCTCCAATGTCCTATAGACTTAGATACTGATCTATTATATCTTGTCTCGTCTCCTCGCTTGTTCTTATGTGTTACTGGTTATGGGTATCGTTATAGTAAAATACCATCAAAGGCACGAGTAGCAAACTGACACAATCATTCATCCGAACTACACAAACAATATTTCCTCTCATTTTAAATTTCACCCTTCATTCATGTGTGGAGATATAATTATCACGTACAAAACACATCTTGATTGCACTCGTGCAGAGTGTTTTCCATTTTCATAACACATATTTTTACTACACACGTGTTGCACATATGTGCCTTTTTATTTATCACACATGAATGAAAATACATATGACACATTGAAAAATATTTGTGTATGACATAAACGGTTTTATACATGTATAGCGTTACCAGTTTCATCAGCAACAGTCAAAAACAAAAACACATATACATATGTAATTGAAGTAATTAATATATGTGGTAGCGGTCCAGCTGCATATTAACGCTTGTATAGAACCATGTCTGTGTCTGTTGGCTACTTTTGCTAGTACATGTGCCTCTGGTCTTGGTTTATAATGCTCTCATCTCGTTTCCAGTAACCTCGTCTGCTCGAAGCACATTCCAACGTTCCAAGTATTCTCATGACCCCGATATGGGGGGATCAAAATCAAAATCACGGCGTAACTATGACGGTCATCTGCCGAGAATTAACACCAGAACCTCCATGTTAGGTACAGAGAATTAATACTTACGTGTGACGCATAACCTGTGTGCCGTGTATGGGTTCGAATATAGTACTCTCCTGACTTACTACCTGTGTGAATTAATATCTATGTTTGATTTGGCATTTTCTTACTCTAATACTACGACTGGATGAGTAAATAGGACTTACTGACTGCAATTATTCATAAGTTAAAACGTACCAGTTTGATAGTGCAAAAGTATGAAGTTGAATCATATATGATTATAACAAAACAGTGAGTCACAATGTACGAAAAGAGAAACACAGACTGACAAAGTGGAACAAATGTTTAAAATAGAATTCCATACCAGTGATGTTCCTCTATCTCATAATGTTCAAGTGGAAACAATACCAAGCGGATCAACACTTGCATACTATATACTGATGAAACTTTTTTTTGTGAATATAATGTATTGTAAAGTTGAATAATGACACATGATAGATATAGCTTTCATTTGTTGCATGTTTAGAGTAGCTGTACCATGTCTAATAGTTAGAATATTCCTTAACATGTTTGCCAATATAGGGCGGGTGCAATCCGAGTTCAACATATAAAACATTTGAGAGTAAGACATATTTTTATAAATTCATAAGATGGATGTAATTTTGCATTCCTGTCTTCACTTGCTTTTGCACGTCACAAATCCGTGTGCACTATAAATAGCGGTAACCTTAATTTGGCGTGTACAGTCTACGATCGATTTCGTATTGGTATAACGTGTATAGCTACCCGTTAATCGGCAATGGGCAGACCTGATCAGTGTAGATATAGCTGCGACGAAGTATAAAAATCAGTGCACGAAGTATGTTTAGTGTTAAATGCGTCATCCAGGAAGTGTAATATATTGCACATCGAATGGCTGAAGAAACTGAACATCTGCGAAACGCAAAACTACAAGCTTGGAAAGGTAGGGTTGCATGTTGTTAGAGTAGATTTAGCAGAGGTAGCGTTTGAAAACTGTTTTGTATTTAGACGACTTTCACATTAGTGGTTTACAATCGTTCTATGACCTGTTAAGTTCTTAACCTTCAGTATTAAATCCGATTTGTGGTTTTGTTTGACGCATGGTATGGTACCATTAATTCCGCATGCATTTTACTTCAAAGAACAACCAGCATGAAATCCTCTGAATGTTTAACGGTAATGTTCTTAATCCTTCCATAATCTTTTAAATTTGCGGTGAAGTCATGAGTTGGTATAATCTACAGTCCAGGCGTCTGAAGCAATGTTTGTTCATATGGTTTATGATTTATTGTAAGTAAATCGTGGTATTTGTTCTAATGTGTACTAAGAATTTCTTCAAAACGTTGTGCAATAATTTAATTTTACCTCAGACATTGGACAAATGATTTGCAAAATATGGAATGATTTATCATATTGTAGCATGGATGTTTATAAATTGTATGTGTATTTTAACGGTTCTGTGAAAATATGTATATGTTTATGGTGTTGAGAGATTGTTATGTATTTATTTTGTATATACATCAAAGTATTACGCACTAATTACCACTAAAACCGAACCCCTGCCAACTATGACACGCAAAACACATTCTGAGCTCATTCACGCACGATGCAACGTCTGCCAAATTAAAGCTCACTCACATACCAGCACAAATAATGTAAACACGCTTGACCTTGAACAATGATCTGACACAATTCCATCCAATTTTCTTTCATCAAACAGGATACGGCTCCTCGGCACCCATCATACTGGCCAGAGAAAGGCGCACAGTAGATCAAATAAAAGCTAGAATTAGCATACCTGCAGGTTTGATCATGTAGTCAATGACCCTATATTCTCTTCGTTTCTTTACATTTTTTTTCAAATTGTTTTTGACGAATAGTATTCATTGTTAACACCAAACATACAATTCTATTTTTTATCACATGTATACATTTGTCACTCCTTTACTTTTCTTCAGTGTGATTATAACAGAATATATGAATAAAATTAAAGAAAGGAAGAATAAAAGACAGAAAATAAGCTATAATGATTGTTTTCTTAGAAAAACTGAAAATGACATTCTTGTCACCCCGTTTTATTTATTTGAAACTATTAAAAAGAGTCATGCTGGTTAGCTTGAGCGCTATACTTAAACCGTGTTGTTGCTGGAGTGGCATACATAATACTATAACGACTGTTAATCCTGAGGCTGAGGGTGTAATATGTAATAATGTGTTTGGGGACGGCTTTTGTGTGTGAGGCATATATTATATTTCTAAAACTGAAAGTGAAGGTGTTTGATAGTGATGCACTTTTTGTAATTGTTGAAAATTCGCTGTGTTCAATTTGGTTTGAAATGGTATGACGTTGAAAGTGTTCGGATGTTGTTACACCTTTGCTTTCGGTATTTGCGCGGCAGTTATTAACAGGGAATGCTTTACTGCCGATTTTATTGTGTCGGCCATTCTTATTTCCCCTCTGTTGCAACGATGCTGAAGTGATGTGTGAGTTTTATTTTTTAATTATTATTATTTCAAAATGTCTATCATTTTGTTAAATCAACGATGTTTTAATATTTTTCTCGTCTTTTAAAATAATTGCAATTAGTGTCACTTTAAAAAATCTCTATTTCAATAAGTTTTGAGGAAAGAAAACGTAACATTAATTGATGACGTAATACATGCGACTCAGGAAGTGAATCAAATATGCTGTTGTAGACGACGCTACTTTAGTAGCTCTACTTTCTTCTGTTTAGTGTTTTGTTATTGTTATTTACACTCTTTTATAACTGTAAATAGAAGACAACAATTTTCATGTTATTGATCAACTAAAGTAATACAACTTCATGGCTTCCAATATAGACGATACGCCTAGAGGGAAGAAAGCGTTATCAGTTAGGGTCCATCAAATGCTGGGAGAGTCAGACAGGTTCTCAGAAGACGGGCCTTGGACACCACTCTTACGACAAGGTATCGCTTGGTCTCGTTATTATTACCCTCCGTAGTGAGCGATTTTATTTTCTATGTCAGTGATTATTATCCTATCCTCTGTGAGCGAAATACATAACCATTTCTCAAAGACAGTTTGATAATACGTTATCATAAATGCTTATTTATATGACGTCAGATTTGAGAGGTCATTATTCAACGTCATTACATTATAACGTCATCGCACATGTTTGGGACGTGACATGTTGTTGTCGTCTATTCATTGTAACAGTTCGGTGTTACGTCATAAGTGGTTGTACAAACAAGTGTACTTCAATCGATATATTCATGCGTTATCGATGTCAGAACAATTTAGTGTCATTCCAATTAACAGAATGTGTAATAAGTGACTTCTTGTATGTTTGTATACATGATACAAGATGACTGACTTTTATACTGGCTGGAATTTACTACAGCATCTTTCTGGTGTGATGAACGTCATTATACAAGTGATATCACTCATGTGTGATTTCATTAAAAACGTTTCATGCATTTCACTTCTGCATTTGATCTCAATGCAATTAGTCACATTGTTGTTAATTTCTTTTATTTTTGTTATCATTTACAACATTAGAGTGCTATACTATAATCTTATGCAGGTTAATTGTGATCGCTAAATTATTATCTGTTTTACGTTAAATGACACATTGTTTCGTGACTTTTTCATGATGTAACATGCATTCAGATAATCGAATATGTTTGTTGTACTATAACAGAAATATTCGAATGGTCTAGATGTTCCTACCTCTCTACTGTTTACTGGTAACATAAATATTGAGGCATGATGGTGTACAGCAGCTATTCTAAATCTACAACATTTACGTGTAGAAATAATTATATTTCCTCTTTGTATTGTCCTCTATGAATGCAAATTCATCTTCAGGAAAAAATAAAAACGTTAATAAAGATATTTTTTTCCATATTGTATATCACAAAAGATTGCACGTAGAAACAAAGTAAGAATATTTGCTTAAGTTAACAACCATTTATATATGTCCAAATCCGCTTACATTAAATAAAATCTGATCCATTTGTAAACGTAATCCCAGCAAGATAATTTATTTTCATTGAATGCCATTTGAATAACATGAATCATTTCGGTTCTTTTCCGTTCCGTTTAAAGTTTAACATTTTTATCCTTAATAAAAATCAATTTCATTTTTATTCAATCATTAGATACATTTGATTTCTTTGAGTATTAATTGATATTTATCGTTGTTGTTTCTCCCAAAGCGTATACAAGTATATACAAAAACGAAATAAATATCTGTATATATACATGGAGTATTACACGCGGGTTTAGTTTTGATTGGTCAATGAACCACTCCATACATTCTTGTTATTTTGTGTTATATCTGTTTCATTGTTACTTTTATATGTGAACCTCTTTGTACGGTGCTAATGTTAAAACATCAAAAGAATGATGCAACAATGTTTACTTTCATCGTTTTACTATGTACAGAATCTACTTTTTTTGGTAAGATAATTGTGATAAAATGTGTTTGTTTGGGTAAATGTAGTGTTGCTGTAATTTGGACTGACATCCGTATATACTCGACTGAAAGCATGTAGTTCTGTAACAAAATAGACGATTGGTCTCTTACAGGGAGTGCATGAGATTGTCTTTAAAACGAGGCTGTATATGGCCATTACTAAGGCAGCTTTTCTTTCATTAGATTTCAGATCCAGGGGTAGCATAAATTATACTTAAACGTTCGTGATGGTATTTTGATCAATTGTGTAACAACATGGCAATATAGATGTTCCATCTTTTATAATTATCAATTAAGTAGATGCCTTTGTTAGCTGCAGATGGAATGATAATACATCTGTCCCGTTTTACCAATTGAATTCACAGTCATATACATGGTATGTGATTAATACCTAGAATCTTCTCAAATGTAACCTTCTTTAATTCAATCACATATCTTGTGTTTCAAAATGTTTTTTGCTGCTTTAAAAAAAATAAGTTTGACGTTAATAAAACAATTATTAGCATTTCAACAGTGCAGTTTTCAAGCCGTTGCTATTACCTCTTTGGCTGTTCCTAGCTTTTAGCTACATCTTTTGCAAACCGTATGGACTCCAGTCCAAATTAATACGCAATACTAACTTTACCTGTAAGCACATGTACGTTCTTCATGCATACTGTCGTTTTACACAGAAAACCTAACACAATTGATTCGGTGCTTTATAGAGTAGAAAATTTAGACATAGATAAAATAGAATTCACGCTCATATCTGAGTGGTTGATTTATGAATATTGTATGCGGTAAAGGCGGTTATAGTGTAGTAATTAAATATACATTTTGGCTTGTAGTTTCCATTTTGGAAATAGAAATTAGTAAATGCGATTCAGTCATATTTTGACTGGTGATGCTTATGGTATGTGTGAAGAATAATAACACAACAAATGTTTGGCTTATGTGATTTTTATATAAATGACATTTTGTATTTGTTTTTGTTTTGTGCGTCTATTGTCAGCAAATAAACCCGAATAAAATATGTGTATTAAGTTTGCTTTATATCTCTTATTTGAAATGTAGTGCATGTGATTTGAATATATTATAACAGAAATATTTATTTCTAAAGTTATTCATTACATTGTGTTGAAATATTTAAAAAAAAAAAAAATATGTTAACAGTATTTTAAAATTAAACCGTTGAAGATTGTATGCCCGTATTTCCAATGTTATTTATACCAGTAAGCCATAATTGCTAATTTAACAATGCAAACAAGTCGTGTAAACGAAGAAGAGGATTAGCAGAAAGAAAAAGCACGTGGTGAGGAGGGACTAATGGTAATGAAATAGTTTTGAGGAATCAGAATGCATGTAAGTATACTGTGTACGGACGGTTAAATAAAATGTATGATTAATATGTGTATGTGTGTATCATATCGTGTGTGTGTGTTCAGTTATGAGATCACAGTGTGTAATGGGTTGTTATACACAGTCACCATCACGACAAAATCAGCAACAATTAGCCGCATTACGTGTGTAATAACCGACGCTTGCTGCTAGTGTATTAACAAAGAATCCCTAACATCAGCGAGTAGTTGTCCATTGTTCCCTTAACTTGCATGTATATGCACCTGGCAATTTGCATTGTTCAATTCTTTTCCCCGTCTTTCATTGTATATCTCTTCTGCTATCAAGCTTAATGATTTTGCAAAAACCCATCAGACACGGTAGCGTGTGTGTTTTAGCACAAACAACTACAAATCAATCTATATTATCACAATGGGCTTGATATCGGAAGTACTGAACCTATCCATCATATCTACCCTCCTAACATGTTTGAATATCGCTTCACTGACATACTCATTCCGACTCTTGCGCTATTTCGTTATTTTGATACAGATGTTTACGCCTATGACGATGTATATCATATACTAAATGACATATCTAAATATAGGTACTCAGCCTGCTTACCTGCGTCGTTCCCGAACCAATGTCTCCAAGTTTGAAAATGCCATGCCAAGAAGTTACACGTCAGTGCACGGCCGTCCGGATAGAGATCTGAAGTAAGTCACTCTCTCAAATACATTCAAATGAAGGACTATCAATTGAAAGTAGGTTCTGATTGCCTGTATACGATGGTCTTTTTACCTTGTAGAGTGACTCCAAAAGCAGAAAATGTCAGACGAGTCGACATACCTTCAGCGGGTGCAGTACCTAGAATACCCCAGTCGCGGGGACGATCTGGAACTAATCCGGACCCTGGAACTATAGAAATTCCGGAAACGACAGAAAATATGTAAGTTATCAAATGGGAAAAAAAGTCACATAGTATAAACAGATGAATGCCGATGTGGTTTGATTGTATTATGTAACTTTGGCAATCGGTGAGATGTTAAGTACTTATACAGAATAATCTAAATATGCATTGCCGTGACCTTTCGCAACACAGTGAAACCTGCTTTAACCTACCACAACAACGCCTGCTGCATAAATTTATTTATTGAACAAATCAGATTGACACAAAAATTAAAGAATTGAACAAATTTCAAATTATGACTTTGATAGGATTCCGGATTATATAAGATTTTAATATGGAATATAAACTCCATGTAAAAACAATCCAAACGTGAATTGTTGACTAGAATACACGTCAGCATAATCTTATCATGAATAAAAGTATAATGATTCTGTTTTATTAACATTAACATGAGTCGACAATTGAATTTTGCGAAGTCTTTCTATGCGACTCTCCATGAGAGAATACTGTCATGCTAAAATGTCAATTTTTTGGGCGTTTCCCTTTCACAGAGAGCATGACGACCCTGCCTCTATGGAGGCATACGAGGACTTGACTGACCGTCAGAAGATGATGGCCAGCAGGACCTCCAAAACTGCCAGTCCTGTTAAACCGCCCGCCACTCCAAATCCTTTACGGGTAAGAGACCATAGGGTAAAAAAGTGTTTTACTGGTAAATTATTCAAACACTTATTTCAAATGTGTGTATTTCTAGAACAAAATAAGAAAGTTTAAACAAATATTTAGCATAGCATTTGCAAAATGTATTATTTCACTTTAAACGTGAGACTAAAATTGATACGTAAATATTTGTTACAATTCAACACCATAAAGCAATACAACTAAAACGCATTGTCGGAAGACAATGTCATGCTAATAGAGGTGACTAAAATGTATTTAAAGTATAGATATGCATTAAATTTGTTATGACGAGACAACTGGCTATTGTATTATTCCAATACAAAACAGGGAAGTGAATTACCACAGATGATTCCAGAAACGGAACGTAGCGAACTGCATGCAACATTTAAGAAATTAGATACAGATTCCGACGGGTACGTATAACTCTATGCTATTGCCAAAATGAATTTGTTTTCAAGTTTTATTTGCGTTACTTGTGTCTGAATGATTACACATATTCAGGAAAATGTAAATTAGCTTATGATGAAGCGAAACGATGTTCTGGAAGTGTTATATGTTAGAAAAGCTGTCCAACATGAATTAACGATCCCGAGTATAATATTTTAAAGTTGCATAAGATATCAAAATATTCTTCTCAATAATACAACATTTCATATTTTACGTAATTCAGAATGACAAGCTGTAAGAAAAATGAGAATGACTTTTTTATGTAAATCAGAATACGTTATCATGTTAATGAAATTGTATATTTAAAGTAAGTTATTCAGGATAAATATGTGTTAAAAAAGGGATAATATTACCTCAAAATCAGGACTCATAATCGATAAATAAAACGTAGGGACTACGGAGTAACCAAAACAACACGTTCTAAAACTCAACAAAAACATCACGTCCTAACACTCAACAAAAACAACACGTCCTAACACTCAACA